CGCGGCGGGAGGCTGGAGTTTTCCACCCTCGGGATCGGGGATGGTTCATGTGTTGTTACGGTCAGTGACAAGGACCGAAAACACGCTCGGTTCCCAGACTGTTCAATCTGATCGGATGGCAACTTTATTTCTAAAGTTTCCCACTTCTGTAGGCTGTTGTACTGGTGACTGTTCTCTCTCTCTCTCTTTTTTTCCTTCATATGGAAAAAGTGCTTCTCACGAGACTTCTAGCTAGTATTGAGGGGAGTTTCTTGCCGGGCATCTAAAGATAGATGCCTAAAAATTTGTGTTTAGGAAAGGAGGTTATGTCTTTAAAAGAATCCCTCTGGCTTCTGAGATTTTCTTAGTGGAACTCTTGAGGTCGGGTGGATGGCAGGGTGCCTACAAGTTAGACAAACAGGACAGCGAAGGACATACAGTATTAGCATAGGTGTTTGGTGGGATGGTTACGTGACATCTAACTCTGGACCAAGAACAGATTCTAGATAAGCTTTTGATACTGTTCTAAAGCTTCTTCCTTTGCTGCAATGCCAGTGACATAATAAAAATGTTTAAAATTATACAACATTAGAACTCCTTCTAAAGAAAAGAGTCCTCAGAGATGTATGTTATTAAGCCTGTCCATCCTCGGTGCAATATTGATAATCTGTCATTGGTTAGAGGTCTGAATCACGCTGAGGACCACTTGGGGCACAGCTGAGCTTTGTTCATGCATGCAAGCTGTTGGAAGCAAGATGAGCAGTTTGATTAAACTGAGTCTGAGCACTTAATTCAGTGTAGCCTGGGAAGAACTGAATGTTCCCCTGTTGTGGTCCTGCTTCGGTGTTATCATGTCCTCACTAAGAATCTCTATTTAATCAAGCACATGAGTTGAAGAGGAGGGTTTGCATTGATTCTTTGTACTGAAATACTCTAGAAGGTTTTCTTTCCTGCTTGGAATTACTTGCAAGAAAATGTGTATGTTTTTGAGGGGAATTATCTGAAGGACACTGCACAGTAGACACAATTTCTGTCTGCTTTCTTGTTTCACAATGGGCCCGTTTCAGTCCTCATTAAAGAACAATTCTAGCTGTAATCTCATTTCTAAGAATAGTGAACTAGTTCAGGCTTTAAGCGTCACCTAATCAGAGTTTTAGGGGGTTTTGTGTGCAAAGGCAGGTGAGGAGGTTCGACTGTGATCTGCATAAAAACCTTGAATACTTGTCTTTCAGAGTGGGAGAACTCAAAAAAGTGAGGAAAAAACATAGTGTTAAGATATTTTAGATTAATTGACAATTACATCTTTATATTTTGGTATACTGTGACTGCTGCTACCAAATAGAACTGCAGTTTAGAACTTCTTTACCAATGTAAATGTGAAAAAATAACAGACAAGTTTAACAGGTGTTCATCCTGAAATAGAGGTAAAAATACATCTTTATTTTTGTGCTGTTTTTTTTCCAGCTTAGTAATCCGTGGTGAAAAGGATGAACAAGCAGTGTTGTGCAGCAAAGATAAAACTTACGACATGAAAATAGCAGATACCTCAAATATGCTGCTGTTTATTCCTGGTTGCAAAACTCCAGAACAGCTGAATGCAGATCAAGGATCTTGTAATATTATTCATTCACAGGTATGTCTTTCTCGGTTTCTGTTTGTTTGCTTTAATTCTCTACTTTCTTATTCTCTATAATTTCTTGTATGTTATCCAATATGCGTATGTGAATCCTGGCTGGGATTCAATTTCCTGAACATAGGCTTCTAATACCGTTTTAGATGCCTTGTGGTATTGGTCTAGCTACGAGCTGCCACTCCAGAAGGACGCGAGTCTCCTGTAGGTTCTTTGTATATTGAACAGCCCCAGGAGGATGTCTTTATAAATATGCTTTATACACAGGGGGCACGCTGTACCTTAGGGTGTCCAAAATGGCTCTAGGGCCCTTCTTTAGGCAACTGAACTTTATCCGGAATGTATGATAATTATTGTTTCTAAGAAGTTAAAACTTTGGTTTATTTTCAGTGGATAGTAATTGCTTGTGGTAGGTATTAAAAGGTTTCGAAGGAAAACTAATTTCTCAGTGTTAGCAGCTATTTTTAATATAAGCTGTTTGCAAATTGTTTCTTAGGAGTGCTTTCCCCAAAAGGCAGATTATACCATGTCATGCTTGAATATTGTTTTTTAAATACAGACATATATTCAAAGGTGACTCTCTTTCAACTAGCATCTGGAAAGATTTGTTGGAGTGAATGATTTTACAGTTCTCAGTTTAAAGAATTCATTGTTCTTTGCTCTTCTGAAGCATAGTTAATAAAATTCTACTAAACATAGTTAGGGAAATAGTATTACTAGGTCATTATTTGCTGTAATGGATATAATGACATCATTGAGGAGGAATCCTGCTTGTCCTTAGATGAACATAATAATCAAAACAACATCATTTCTTACGTGAAGTCAGCAGTTCAGCTAATAGAAAAAGTTAATTCAAACTGAAGTAGATTAATGAGGAAGTAATATTCTTCCATATTCTTTTTTGGCTGTGTTCAATGATCTCACTAGTCTTCTGAAGTCACACGTGTCAACATAATATAAATGTGATTTGCTTAGGAGTTATTTTTAGAGTTTTATTTCTAAGAGCTCTTTTAGTGTTTTCAAAAACATTACATGATGTACTGACACTGCAAATTGTGAAACATAGCAAAAGATACTACGTTTACTCAGTATTCTGGGGCTTCGCTGCCCTACTGCAGTCTCGGTGCTGCTCTTTGTGCTGCTTGCAAGCTAATACTCACGGCCAAAGCATCTGCTGTTTTATTCACCTCACACAGACCAGCTCCAGTTACGAGCTTTGGATTATAAATTAGAAATACTTATTCTCTCTTCTATGCAGAGTACCTTCTTGTTCATTACCAAATTGCTCAGAAAAGAACTTGGCAGGGAAAAAAAATCTAACACTTAGGTAAATGCTATTTGACATGGAGGGGAAAAAAGCTTAGAAATTAGTATTTACCTGAATTTTGTGCCAAGCAAGCTATGGAATAGTTCGATTAAAAACTGAGAGCTTTTCTCAGTAGGACTTCTTCTACATATAGGTGGTTTGCTTATAGTTGATTTAAATGGAACATTATTTTAATTTTTTTTTTTAATGGATGACCTTAAAAAAAAAAGTAGTAGTCTGGTAAAGCATTTAGGGTATTTTAAAGTATTATCTGGAGGCTTTTTCATGGAGACTTTTTTACAAGGGGCTAGTGGTTGGGTCAGGAGTCACGAACCTGGAGCCTGTTCTGCCTCTGCCATTCTGTGCCCACTTCTGCTGGTTTGGTAAATGGCGGAAACAATGCTGAAAGGCCTCCGATACTCTGTCCTCTTCAAAGAACCTTCTAGGAAGTCCAAGCTGTACCCCATGAAACACCTCAGGATTAGTCTGAAGGTAAAGTTTTATTAGATTAGTGCTGTTGAATCGATTACACCCGAGCTTCCTGTTGCACGCTTAAAATTTGTGTGTTGAATCGGAGTAAGGGATGGAGATGTCTTGTCGGTTGTGTGCAAGTATAACTTACTGTCTCGTTAATGTCTGTTTTACTTGAGCTTAGTGATATGATGATTCATTAAGGTGTAAAAAGACCATGAAGTACATCCCAAGCATGGGAAGAAGTGGGGAAGATGGAAACGGGATAAATCGGGGGGGGGGTTATGGCAGTAATATAACTTAGTGTTAGGAGGAGAAGAAATGTTGATGAGGACTGTGCAGGAATACATCCCATGATGATATTCTGTCATTTACATGTAGAGATGAGTTGTTCCCTTTGTCATATGCACTATGAACATATTTTTATCAACCAACAGTGGATTTTTATTCTTCATTGCCTGCGGTAATTTTTTTTTATTGAAAATATAACAATGATTGTTTCATCTTTAAAGTAATTACCCTATTAATAAATTATTGTTCACAGTGACTAGATTAATAGTTTTTGCTGATAATTTTTGGTAAGCTTCTTTGAATCCAAATGGTAGATTAAAATGTTTTAAAGAGTCGCTGTTTTTTCTTGCAGATTGCTGGCTTCTCCAATAACTATTGGGAATTAAGGAGATGTCGACCTAAACTGAAGAAACTGAGGAAGCTTTTAATGGAAGATCCATATGAAGGGCCAGATAGTCAGAAAGATCAGACTTTGGCATTTTCAAAGGTAAATCAGCTACGTAAATTACTTTCTTGTAATTGGTAATGGGCAAATTAAAGTGAAGATACATTCTTAACTAGAAAAATACCTTTGTTCCCATGTTTCACAGTGCTGCTTTGAGTTAATTTTTTAAGCCTACTATTCTAAACAAGTTGGTAATTATTAGCACTTCCACTGAGTAGCAGGTAAGCAACCTTTTTTTTAGTAAAAAAGAGGAAAAGGAAGGACACCGAAAAAGACTGGGGATTTCCCTTTTTATGTGGGGAGTTTCTTGAAGACAGTCTTCAGAACCTTTTATAAATTCCGTGAGAGTTATGTGACTACTAAGATATAATGCACCCTTTCCTCCTTCTTGGGGCTGTCATGTGTGAGCTAAGTAAAAGGTCGCAGGAGACCCAAGTACAAGTCACTTGCCAATCAGTAATTTATTGTGACAAGGAGAAGCAGGGAGTTGCAGAGAATGACGAGGATGATACAAGGCAGAGAATGACTGACATTACAAGAAAGGAAAATACAAAATCCTGTCCTGCTGCCCTTTTATGTTTCCAGGAAATCCAATTTAGAATCTAAACAGTAATGGAGAGATGTGGACTGTGCAGCATATGATCTCAGATAAAAGACTTATAAAAATCCTGGAGTTTTGTTAGTTTGGTTGGTTTTCCTTTTGCCTTTAAAAAACAGAAATGGTTGCTCCAAAGTATTTTACACTGAGACTTGGTTGAAGCCGATCTGTTTGTGCTTGCACGTACAAACATAGACGTTACTTTTCTCCCTTGGAGAGAAATGCTGCTTCTCTCTGGATGATTAACAGTCTAATTTCTGATAAGTTTCAGAATCTTTCCCCCAGCACTGCCTTTTCCCCCTTTCATTTTTCCTATCTACTCTGTTCTAGGCATAGAAGGGCATAGCAGCAAAATAAGGGATGGCAGAGGGAAAAGGGCTTAAATTGTCACCAAATTCCAAGCGTTGACAAAGGCTAGCAACACAAAAAGATATCATATGCAATAGTATTTACTGATAATATTAAATTAATTTTATAAAAACATGTCAGTGTCTCCCCAAACATTAGTGCCTAGTTTGAGGACTGATCTCCATTTGTTTTGAAGGAGAATGTTTCTTGTATCAGCTTACTAGAGAACAATTAGATATATCTGATAAACGTAGATGAATCGTAGCTATGCCACTGGTAGAACTTTGATCTGAAAACTCTCCATGGGAAAGCTCTCTTTCCTATGGGACTAATTCTCACTGGAATTCCAAACAATATGTGCGTAGTAAAAATTTTTGCTGTGTTGTTTGCTTACACTTAATATTTATTGGGTGCTGGCAACAAATAAGACATCTTTAATCTGTTTGAAAACAAATTACTATGTTTTGGTGGCTTGCTGTAAACTTCTTATGTAAACTTGGTACTGTATCATACACAGAGAACTACAGGAAAGGAACCATAAGGAAGTATAGCACTGTAAGGATTACTGTAAGGAAGCCTGATGCATAGTGATGTGATTTAGCAAACTACAGGAAAACTTAGAAACAGGCTGGTACTCAGCTTGCTCAGGGTGCACCAGATTAAAATCCTGGGTTTTACAGTGAGATGGCAAGGCATATTCAAATGATTGAATGCGTCTGAGTTAATGTGTGTAATATATTTCTTATCCTTTTCTGGAAATTGCTGGTATGGACGTGATGCAGGTCAACTCATCCCATTTTATGTTTGCAAGGGTGATGCAGCTGATAAAAGCATCATAGCTGAGAGCAGTGATTTCTTAAAAAAGCCGTTGGAGTGCTAGCCGGGCCTCAGAGGGGGAACAAATGCCAAGGACTCCTGTGCAGGGTCTTATCTAACTCTCAAACACACTTGCATACTGATCTGGGGATATTTTTGCTCCCAATTGCTAGCAGTGTTTTTTGAAGTACTGTATAATATGGGCATCCCTTGCTGAAATACTGATGTGAGTTCAATGCTGCTTAGCCTGATGATGTTTTAACATACTGTCTAATAGGAATGGCATAGCAGGAAGAGGAGACCTTTCTGTATTTATTAAATGTTTTTTTTTAACATGTGGATGTTCCAAACTTAGTGGTGTTCCATTTGTGTCCCCATAGTCTAATAGATCTCAAGTACTTGATCCATTTTTTTTCTTTTTTGATAGGAAATATTCTTATGCTATAATCAACAAAACTTTAGTATTAGAGTTGATTAAAAAGGCTGTAAGGTGAATAAAGGAATTGATGAAGCCCTGTTTCCTATGGATTTAAGCCTGGTGTTCCTTCCCTTTACTTCACTCCTCATGATACCTTCTGTTCCTCCCATGTCTCCTGAGTCTTTACCACAGTATCCACAGCACCCTCCCATCTCACCAAGTAACTGTTCTGCAAGGAGCTGTATGTGCTGTGGCTGGGTCTGTGCCACATGTCTGCCAATTGGTTAGCAGACACCAAAACACAACACATAACTGCTGAGGTCATGTGGGAGGAGGCTTTTGCTCAGTGGAGGTACTAAGTTGGAGTTCTGACTTCTGTGCAGAAGTGATAAGTGATTTTTGGTTTGCCTTTTCTTTGAATCTCACAAATTAAAATAAGTGATTTAGGAAAGACAGAACACATTCACTTTTCATTCTTGCTGTGATACTCTACTTACGATGCCTACTTGGGCTAGTTTGACATCCTGGGAATACGGGTATATTACTTATGCATGGCTCAAAGACTTCCCTATAGTTAGATTGTTTTATATTGAAGAACCCTTTGAGAAAATGTTGTAACTTACAGGAAAAGTTTCAGAGTGTGGTAAACCTTAGGAAATTCAGAGTCGGGGAAAAACCCATCAATTTTCTGTCTTTCTTTCATTATATCTTACAATGTATTTAGCATGCTTGCTGAAGCAAAGGAGGAGTAAGGGTAGCCTGTTTTATTTCCTTCTTTTTTTCCCTTGTTGCAGTATACAACAGAAGATTTGTTAAGTCTGATTCAAGCAAGTGAAGAAGAAATACTGCACCAATTGCAGGTTATAGATGCCTGCAAAATTGAAGGTATTAATCTCTAAAGAATATTATTGCCTACGAGGAAATAACCCTGGTTGTTTTTTTTCCCCCAAAACATCTGTGTCTCCTTTTTCTAAGGCCCATTCCACTTCCTTGTCTTTCAAGGTGCAAGTTACTTCCAAGTACTAAGATCTGCTTCCATATTTCCTATATCCTCTGCTGCTGTGAAGCTGATCAGAAGGGTAAAACCGAGCAGGCATTGACCAGTCTGGCTCTTCCCAGGGTAATTCCTTCTTTGCTGCTACAAACACTGGCATCAGAGTATCCCACCCGTAGCACGAATATTTTTTGGCTGGTTGCGCTCTTCATGGATGAGTGGGTACTGCTTTCTGCAGTTCTAGAGGCAAAAATAGCTGATCCTTAGGTAACCCCAGCCCTTTCATAGTCCTTTCTTCCTCCCAGACTGGATTTATCTCAAAAGTCTTCCTACCATGTGAGGCAAGGCTAGAGCAAGTGCCTCACCTTGGGACAGGTCCTACTCATCCTTTACTTGGCCAGGCCCAAACCTTCTCCTGGATACCAGGTGACAGCAGTCCTAGAGTCACAGAATAATATAGGGCAGAACTGAGCTCTGGAGGTTATCAGGTCCAAACCCCCATTTTAGAACAGGGCCAACTTGGAGCCGGCTGCTCAGGGCCTTGGCTGGTCAAGTTCTGAGCGTTCCCAAGGATGGAGATCACACAGCCTCTGTCCAGGCTGTTCCAGTGTTTGACTCTCCGCCAGAGGAAGAAATTCTCCTAATAACCAGCTGGCATTTCCCCTGTTGCAACTTGTTCTTCTTGGCTCCTGTCCCATCACTGAGCACCAATGGGAAGACTTCTACTCCATCTTCTCTATACCATCCCATTAGGTGGGTGAGGACAATCTCACAAATGACTTTCCTTGTCATTTACAGCTGCACAGCACCGTTGTACCAGATCTGTGCTTTGTCACATCTGGATTTCTGTGGACTTGGCTGGACCTGAACTGCCACTTTGCAGGGCCAGTGCAGCCAGTTCTGTTCATGCAGTTCTGTGCCTGAATTAATTATTAGTTTTTCCAGGTCTGATTCATCTTGGGATGGGATTTGTAGCGTCTTTGTATCTGTAGCAATTAGTCTACATAAACAATAATGAATAATTGAGATAATTTTATTTCTTTCTCCTTTACATTTGCTCTTCCTATTCTGTTCTTATTCTCAATTTTAATCCTGAAAAGGAGAGAATGCTGTCGCTGTACTTTGTAAACGTGTGACCTAAGTGTCCAGACTCCTGTAATGTATCTTCAGGGCAATAGCATTAAAGTGTTAATGTTTTCCTTCTAACACTGTTTTGTGGTTTTCTATTTGGCAGGACATTGGAGAATTCTAGAATTTGACTATGAGATGAAACTCTTGAATCACGTGACTCAGCTAATAGACTCAGAGTCCTGGTCTTTAAATAAGGTTCCTTTACGTACCTGCCTTGAGGAACTTGGATCATTAGAGCCCACGTAAGCAATTACTTTTAGTACTTAAAGTTGTCTACAATCCGTATTAACTATTACTAATTGCAATCATTATTAATTATTTATTGGAATTATAGCCTTATGACTCTAGATTCCAGTTACCATGGTGTTAATGATATATTTTCTTTGGCTCTGAAATATACAAGGGCATTAGTAGTTTAGACAGACAGGTAGTAAACTGATTTTAGTGTCTATTAGTAATATTTCCCTTGATTCAGTAGTAGAAATATTACTGCTGAATTGCAAATGATGGAAGTAGCATGCACTTAAGCCGTAAATTGCTGACCATCTTGAAATACTTGTTGAGAAGCTAGCCAAAAATGTTTAGTTTACCTCTTGTGTAATATCCGAGATGGTGGTATATTTTTCTGGTATAATACTGAATTCAGATCTTAAGAGTCGAGTTTGTTGTACTGCCATTTGGAGTAATGAAATAATTTAAGGCTACCATTCAAACAAAGTCTTAAGTTTACAATATGTAGTGTTTTCCCTTTATTTGGCTTTTGGCTCAAAAAGAAATCTTGCTTTAGTATTAGTGTCTGCAGTTAGGTTGTAATTTTATGCCGGAGGTCTAGAAAAATGCCTGCTATTCAGTAAGGGATAATTAACTGCCAAATTTGTGACTTGAGTCACTTCTCATTGGAAAGAAATGACATTGCAAGAGTCTCTCTTCCTTATTCTCCTATGTATTTTAGTCTTTTTTAGTTATAACTAGGAAGTGGAAGAGACTTCTGGGGATGACACGCTGAATTAACTCCCATCTGTCATTTTGGTCCCCTTTTATCCTCTCTTAACTTACTTCTAAGTTTTTATCAATTTGTTCATTTCAGCTGTGAAGATGTGTTCCATCCTCCGTTCTCCTTGATTTTTTACTTTACCTGTTCCTTCATCTTCTTCTTGGTAACTGTTTCTGTAATGTCCTAGTGAACAGTTTTAAACCTTGATTTCTGATTATATTTTTTTTTTTCAGAGAGATGATAGAACATATTCTTTTAAGCTATGGAAGGAAATACATTGATGATGGTAAGTTTGGGAAAGCGTGCATATTTTAATTTTGCATAAAGGAAATAGTTATTCATGAGTAAATGCAGATTTTTGTGAGGATGGCCCAAACAAATTAATTTGCTACAATGCCAGCAAAAGGAGGGAGCAAACAGTGAGCTAAAAATCAGTAAAATTGTTAGAGAAAGTTCCATAGGAAAAAAAGACTATTAAACTGTACAAGACACTGGGGAAAAATCAGGAACTATCAGAGGTACCTGAAGCGATTTATTAGGTGTCTACAAGCCATAATTTTGTGCCTAAAGACAGATCACTAGTAAAATTTAGATGGAATCTTTCTTTAGATACCCTAGGAGGTCTCAAATGTTTAAGCAATTAATTGTGCTATCGTGAATAGTCAATGGCATGTAGACCTCCCTGAATTAGGCTTGCCAATGTGACGCCCATCTACAAGAAGGGCCGGAAGGAGGATCCGGGGAACTACAGGCCTATCAGCCTGACCTCGGTGCCGGGGAAGATTATGGAGCGGTTC